CCCGAAACCCTAAACCCCATACCCGAGATCCTAAGTTCTAAACACCACCGAAAACTCGGAGCCCTGAGCCCCCAAACCTTAGATTCGAAGCCCTGAGCCCCCAAAAACAAGTTGAACCCTAAATCCCAAATCCTTCACGGTCTGACCCACTAGTTGAGGGTTTAGGGTTTAGGGTCTGTTGACGAGGCTTTTGTCTGCAAGAAGCTCGTGGGCCGATATGACCACAGGGCTTTAACCCTAGATTCTTGACCCTAACTCTACATCATCCCATTTGTCCCTATCCCTTATAAGGCCTTTCACCCTTAAATCCTCATGCTCCAAACTCCAAACTCAAATCCTAATCCCTTGAAGCTCTGAGCCTAAAAATCGGAAGCCCCTAAACCCCAAACTCCCCGAGCCCTTAAAACCCAAATATCCTACAGCCTTAAACCCTAAACCCTCANNCCCTAAAACCTAAACCCATAAAACCCTAAAGCCTAAACCCTAAACCCTAAAGCCCTAAAGCCCTAAGCACCCTAACACCCAAAAGCCCTAAACACCCTAAAGCCCTCAAGCCCCACCCTAAAGCCCTAAACCCTACACCCTAAAGGCCTAGAGCCCGACAGCCTTAAGGCACGCCCTGTTGGGAGAGCTCTATCCCATCGGCACGGCCACGGTGGATTCGCCGTCGCCGGAGTCAGGGAAGATTGCCTTCTGTGCTCAGGCTCGGCGGGCTTGGAGGGTCTGTTGTTTTGAGTTTAGGAGTAACACTAAACCCTAAACCCCAAACCCTGGCTGTGGGATTGAGTTTAGGGGTTTTCGGGGTTTGGGTTAGGTGGCTTTGAAGTCAGGATATCAGGGTCTGTGGGTTTGGGTTTTGGAGTTTTAGGGTTTTGGGTTTGACGTAGTGGCCTTCACAATTAGACTTAGATTACACCCTTTATACCCAAGCCTAAAACCTAAACCCTAAACCCTAAACCCCAAACCCTAAGGTGGTACTAGCTTCTGTTCTTAGGCTCTTTGGGCCTGAAAAGCTGTGCTTCGAGCTTAGGATTTTAGGTTTTAGGGTTTCAAGTTTAGGGTGTTCGGTTTTAGGTTTCGGGTTTAGGGTCTCCAATTTAGGGCTTTGGGTTCTAGATCTACGTTGAGAGCTTAGGATCTCGAGTTTTGGGGTTTTAAGGCTTTGGGTTTGGGGTTTTGGTCTTCGTTTCAGGGGTTGTTTACTTAAAGGATCATGGGACTTAGTAAGTAGGGTTATAACTAAGGTAAGTATACTCATAAATACTTATAACCCAAATTAAGGGACTTATGACTTTACTTACTAAGTCCCATGATCCTCCCAGTAGGAAGGATTCGGGCTTCAGGCTTGCAGGCTTTGCTATGGCTTTTACGGTTTAGGGTTTAGGGTTTAGCTTTTTTACACCGTGGTCCGAGTAAGTAGTAACAGTATTCCCTCTCAGCCCGCGTATTATTACACAATATAGTTATACGTTATAATTTATAAGGGCACCCCAAACACCAGCCGAATGATTAAGACACCCAAACCCCAAACCTCAAGCCCTTAAAACCCTGAACCCCAAAGCCCTAAACCTAAACCTTAGAAGCTCCCAACCCCAACCCCCCAAACCATAAACACCTTTTCGAAGCCTGATAGAACCCTGAAAGGAACCACCATCGGAGCCCCTTAAAGAAAGGAGCCGAGAAAGGAACCCCGGAAGGGAACCCCTTTAAGGGAGCCTCCTGCAGGAGCCTTAAACACGAACCCTTAAGGGAGCCCCCCCCATAGGAGCCCTTCGGGGAACCCTCCTAAACCCTAAACCCCAAACCCGAAATCCTTAAGGGAACCCTAAAGAAACCTTGAAGGGAACCCTACAGGTGCCGTGGATCTTCGAAGGCACCCTCCGGGAGAACGTGGTGTTGGACCAAGCCATGGACGTCGATCGTTGCTGGGCCGTTTTAGGGCTCCCTGTAAGGGAGCCTTGCCAGGGCTCCTTGGGGGATTAAGGGGTTTAGGGTTTAAGGGTTTAGGGTTTAGGGGTTTAGGGTTTAAGGGTTTAAGGGTTTAGGGTTAAGGGTTTAGGGTTTAGGGTTTAGGGTTTAGGGTTTAGGGGTTTAATATCCCAAATTCGAACCCCTTCCAGAAAAGGCGCACGTAAAGCCCACATAGCTACCCGAACCACCACCCCAAGCAAAACCAAGATCGCCGTATGAACCTCGGTATAGACCACCCTTCCCCCCAATACCCCCAATCAAACCCGACCAGAAAGACACCAAAACCCTAAACCCTGATCCTAACCCTAAACCCTAAACCCTAAGCCCTAAGCGCTAAGCCCTAAACCCTAAACCCTACCCCCTAAACCTTAAACCCTCAACCCTAAACCCTTAACCCTAATCCCTAAACCCTAAACCCTGAAACCTATCCCTAAACCCCAATCCAACCCCTAAGCCCAGGCTACTGGCGCTGCATCCATGCGGCCTCTTTGGCGGACGCCTGGGGTCCCGGCAACCCGATCTCAGCCTCCCGAAATGGGAGCCTTAGAACACAGCCTTACAGGGTGTAGGGTTTTAGGGTTTAGGGTTTAGGGTTTAGGGTTTAAGGTTTAGGGTTTTCGGGTCGCAGGATCGGGGGTTTAGGGCCCGAAACCTTAAACCCTAAACCCGGTTTTTGGCTTTAGGGTTCAGGATTATTGCCGGAGGGATTCAGGTTTAGGGGTTTGGGGTTTGGGGCTCGGGGCTTCCGGCTTAAGTGGGTTGTCCTCCGGGTCCTTCACTAGGAATGCCGTAAAGTAGGTACCTCAACGGATCTGTTGTATTCCTATTAAGGATTCCTGTCAGGGTTCCATAAGAGTCCTATAAGAGGTGCAGGGCTTAGGGGGGCTTGGGATTTAGGGCTGTAGGGACTACGGGACTAAGCCCTAAACCCTAAGCATTTAGGATCCCTCTTTATGGCTGTGCCTTTTGATCCAGTTTAAAGGTCGGGTTTTAGAAAATTACGGGTCCAATTCTGGGGATTCTTATGACAAGGCTCCTGTCATGTAGGGTCCACGCCAAAGTCAAACATTCCATACTATCGTTTAGGGTTACGATCATAATACAAGTATAGCACAAATATACCCCAAAACCCTAAATTGCCCGATACTAAACCTTAAAAGCACCCCTAAGCGGAAACACTGAAAAGCCCTATCCTAATTACTACGGCTCCTTAAAAGTAGTTCTAAACCCCAAACCCTTAAAGCCTAAACTCTAAACCCTGAAGCCCTATGCCTATACCCTCAACCCTGAAGCCCCACAACCCCAAACCATGAACCCTAAACCCTAAACCCTAAACCCTAAACCCTAAACCCTAAACCCTAAACCCCTGAGCCCTAAGCCGCTATACCCTAAACCCTAAACCCAAAGCCCTAAGTCCTTAGCGTAGTGGGCTCTCTGTCCTCTGGTCGAGGATCCTTTAAAGATCCCTTCAAAATGCTTCTGGGCCTCTCCTTTAAAAGGACTCCTTTAAAGGAGGCCCTTCAAGGCACCCCTATAGATCCCTTGAGGGTTCAGGGTTCAGGGTTTAGGGTTTAGGGTTTAGGGTTAGGGTTTATATAGGGTTTAGGGTGAAGGGGAGCCCAAATACGAACCCTGATTGCAGCTCAGATTCCAAGGCTCTGCTTGGGGGAGCTTGGAGTTTGGAGTGCAGGGTTTCGGGTTTAGGGTTTCGGGTATAGGGTTTAGGGTATAGGGTTTGGGGTTTAGGGCATTGGGTTTAGGGTTTAGGGTATAGGGTTTAGGGTTTTTGGTTACGGAATAGGCTTTAGGCTTTAGGGTTTATAGAGGGAGGCTCGAAGTTGAATGTGCGGTTCTGGGGGGTTTAGGGCTTGTGCTTGATGCAGGGTCTTCGCTTCGAAGTTTTCTAGGGGCACCCTGCTGCCGGCTTCTTGTCGGGAAGTTAAAAAATGCAATCGGGAAAGGCACCTTTATGTTGAGAGGGATACCAGGGACTTTACGGTGGAGGTGGGACCCCTAAACCCGAAACCCTAAACCCTAAACCCTAACCCCTGACCCCTATACCCCAAACCCTAAACCCTGAACCCTAAACCCTATAAGCCCTATAAGCCCTAAACCCTAAACCCTTGACGGAAGCCCTAAGCCCTGAACCCCCTAAGGCCGCAACCCTCGACCGACCCCGCGACCCCTCGGCCCGTACCCCAAACTGGACACAAGCCTTGCCTTCCGGTAATGGGAAGGCACCCTACTTAAAGGATCACGGGACTTAGTAAGTAGGGTTATAACTCAGGTAACTATACTTATAACCCCAATTAGGGGACTTAGAACCTTACAGACTAAGTCACATGATCCTCCAAGTATCGGCTCATTTGCGTTATTCTATCTTTTAAGTTCCAAAAACCCAAAGGCCCAAAACCCTAAACCCTAAACCCTGAACCCTGAACACCCTTAACACCCTTAAGGTGATGCGGGGTAGTGTCCATCAGAGGCATCCTACAGGAGTTTTGTTTTCCCCCTCGGTGGGTTTCCTGTGAGGGCTGCTTCTGAGGGCTCCTTCAGGCCTGAAGAAGCTCCAAAGTTTAGAATCTGATCGGTTTTAGGGTGTAGGGTTTAGGGTTTAGGGTCTAGGGTTTAGGGTAGGATTTGATGAGTCACAGAAGATCGTGCAACCCCACTCGTCGCAGATACACACTAGAGCAGAACATCACCTCAGGTTTCGTTGAAACCCTGCGTGACGGGATTGCTGGTAAAGTGCGCAGCTCGAGCCACAAATTCTGCGCGCAACCTCGTAGATCTACGAACAAAGGGCTGTTCCTGTTTTGTGGGGCCAAGTAGGCTCCACTTTGGAGCTCGCTTTCTGCTCCTTTTCCGACATGCAGTCGCCGCAGAACATGCCAGCTGCACCGGCCGAGCCGACTCCCGATGATTCCTGGGCAGACTTCATTGCTGACACCGTGACGACCATGAAGCCTGTCTCCACGGATGTACTCCGAGCTGTGCAGGTGTCTTCGTCCGCACCTACTCCTTTGCCCTTTTGCGGGGTTACCCAAAGGCTGATACGTTTGATGATATAAATCCTGCATTTCCCATAATAAGGACTCTTCCATAATTCCCCGAGTTTAGGGTCCTTAAGGTCATGCAGAATTTATATCATCAACAGCATCAGGGCATAAGATAGGGTAAGTCCTGTGTCATCACTACGTGAAGTCCTGATCCTCCGGACATCATTACCTCAGGGATGATGGAACTTAGGGGGGCCCTAAACCCTAAACCCTAAAACCCTAAAGCCCTAAACCCTAAACCCTAAACCCTAAACCCTAAACCCTAAACCCTAAACCCTAGTGGTTCTAAGCCGAGCTGAGGTTTCCCGACTTCGACTCACACTTGCTTGAGCCTCCTCTAGTGAAGGTTTTGGGGTTTAGGGTTTGGGGTTTAGGGTTTTAGGGTGTCAGGGTTTAGGGTTTAGGGTTTAGGGGGCTTATATTGCTCCTGATTTAAAGGGGTCTCCTGAAAGCTGGTGTGTTAAGGGGAACTTGTTTCTTGCCAACTTCGCTAAAGCCAAAGACCTAAGACCGTTTTTACAGCACCCTTGCCCCTAAACTCCCGAAGCTGACCCCTGAGCCATAAGCTCGAATCTCCCAGCCCCAAACCAGCTTAGGGTTTAGGGTTTAACGGTTTAAGGGGTTTGGGGTTTAAGGGTTTAGGGTTTAGGGTTTAGGGGTCCATGTACCCAAATAGCATATACTTTGGCCCTAAAGTAGTCCCTATTTAGGTACGTACTTTGGGGCCAAAGTATATGCTATTTGGGTAC